AATTTTTGTATAGTTTTAACTAAGGTGAGGCATCGAGCACCAGTTTATAAGGAGCCCCCAAAACATTTCACGGCGGATAGACCATTTTATTATGTTCTAGTAAATTCGAATAAAATTATATTCTTTAAAGGAATTTTAAAGAATTTTAAAATTGTTTAAACATATAAAATATATTCAAAAATGTAATTGGTTAAAAATCATAATATAAAAAAATTTTGAGAATTCGAAAAGTTTAATTTTATTATTTCTAAAATGTTTTCGAAAAAACACATATTGTTAGAGGAATTTGTAGGTCTAAATGTTTTCTTTGATTATGTATCGAATTAGTGACTAATACCATGTCTGTGCTGAAAGCAGAATCATAATCTTATTACTAATTCTGAAGTCTGTTACAATTTTTTCGTTATGTGCTTAAGACTCACAAATATGCAATATAAATGTTAAATTATTGTATAACATTAAAAAATGTTTAATGTAAACACTAATCAAATACAATCTACTCATGACTTCGTTTTCTATGGTTTTAAACTTTTTTTAAATTGTACTTTTAAGCGATCAAAAAGAAGATGCTTTGCGGAACGTTTGCAAAAACAATTGAAACTTTTTGAGATAAATAGACCTTTATTATACTGTACTTAATAATAATGAAAATGTATTGTTTAGAGGAAGTGTGTATGTATTTTAAATAAATATAAAAATATGTTTAATTAATATATCGTTATATAATTAACTAGTAGTGCCCTATCAGCGTTGAAGCTCCTTGATTAGGCATGTGAATTCTGAAAATTTGAAAAATAATCGATAGATAGATAGATAGATGATAGATAGATAGATAGATAGATAGATAGATAGATAGATAGATAGATATAGATAGATAGTATAGATAGATATAGATAGATAGATATGATAGATACTCGATCGCTAGCTCGCTCGCTCCGCTCGCTCGCTCGCTCGTCGCTCGCTCCTCGCTCGCTCGCTCGATCCTCGCTCGCTCGCTCGCTCGCTCGCTCGCTCGCTCGCTCGCTCGCTCTCGCTCGCTAGATAGCTCCGCTCGTCTTTCTCCCTTTCGTCCTTTCTCGGTCTTCGTCCTCGCGTTCCCCCCCTCTCCCCCCCCTCGCTTCTTTTGTGCGCGTCCCTTCCCTTTTTTTTCCCCGTTCCCCCCTTTTCCGTTTCTTCTGCCTCTTCTTTGCTCTCGCGTCTCTTCTTTCTCCATCTCCCCCTTTATGAGCAAATATAAAAAATTTGTTGATCCTACTACTATATGTTCTTCAAAACTTTATTGTATTTACTTATTTAATTAATTGTTACAGAGCATGATCATGATGTTAAACTCGATGCCCCGAAGACCCAAAAACTTTAATATCGATAGACCTTTTCATTGGACTGTGATAAATAAGAATAAATTTATATTCTTTAAAGGAAGTGTTAAGCAATTGTAAATTTATTTTTAAAAAATTTAATTAACGCATTAAAAAATTGGTGAAAATTTGAAAGCAATTCCAAAAATAAATAATTTAGATTAGTAATAATTGGCTTTTTCTTATACATTTTTAATATAATTGGATTTTTAATAGACCCCATAGATTCCTCTTGTACTGTGAACATATCGTACCATATCAGTAGATATGCTAGTATATTAAAAGTTTGAGTTAATGTTAGAACACACTTCTGGATATATTTAAAGATCATTTAGAGTAACTTCTTAGTCTGTTTTTTAACATAGATTAACTAGTAGAAGATCTTACGAAATAAGTTGCCTGATTTATAACAAAACTATGAATGCATACATATATAGAGGGACTTTCAGATCATAAGACAATATCGTTGATAACATAGACACAAAGTTTTTGAAGTATTTTTCAGAAGAATATTTTAAAAATTTACTTTTTCGAAGGGACTTTTTATAGCCTAGACCACTTTAGTGGGGAGGGTATATTGGATTTGTGCTGATGTTTGTAACGCACAATAATATTGGTCCTATTACTTAAAGTATACCAATCGGCTTAGAATCATTTTCTGAGTCGACCGTCCGTCCATGTAAACTTTGTAATCAAGCTACAGGTCGCAATTTTGAAGATAATTCAATGATAATTTAGCACATGATCTTTAACTGTACCAGAGACGAATCCTATTGAAAGTGGTTAACATTGGTCCATTATTTCACCTAGCCCCCATACAACTGAACCCCCCGAATAGGTCAAAAGTCGATTTACGCAACCTTAGTATAAATATCGTAAACAAATTTTTACATTTTAAAAGTGTAAAGTTAGTTCTTGTTTGTTCCAAACCTCTATATATATTTAGGAATACCTTTCAGTAACTACTATACATACATATATGAGTAGTAATATATGGTCCAACTACGTTTTGATAGGTCTCTTTTATATAAAAATATCTTAAGTTCCTTATAATATTCCTTATATAATTTTTCTAATTTTATTTTTGCATAGTAATGTGTTGCAGAGAGCGAAGTTCGAGAATCGTATCACCCGATATTTTTATGATTGATAGACCATTTATTACAGCCTCTTAGCAAACAAAAATTTGTATTATTTAAAGGAGATGTTAAGAAATTTTAAAAAAATTTACAATATAATCACCATTTGATCCAAATGAACTTGGATCTAAGAGAAATCACAATTTTTATATAAACAATTTTGGTATTATTTTTGATGGGTTAAGAATTTTTTTTTTAAAAATATAAACTAAATTTAATTTTAAGTAAAACTATACTTAGTTTTTTAAGTTTAATCCAGCATGTTAAAATATGGGTAAACATTTCCAGCCTGTTTCAACGTAAGTGGGGTTTTAAGATATAATAATTTTTGGCTTAACTGCTCGACTTGGACGTGAATGTGAACGTGTAAATTGTCTTTTCGGGGGTTATATTTATAAATGATGCTGATTATTGTAATAAATCCAATTTTTTTCTAAATTCTAGTTTTGCGTATAGCTCCCGTAAGTGCTGTTAAAAGAAGACGTTTTACCGTTAATCGTCGTTTTATTTACGTTATAAAAGATGTGAAAAACGTTTCGTATTTCTTTGGTCGTTATATGAAATAAAAGAAAATTTAGACATTTTTAATATAGAATATAAAGGAATAAGAGTTTTATTTAGAAGAAGACGTTCTGAAAAGTAAGTATGATATTGGTAATTTCAAAGTTTTTCTTAATAATTCGAAAGGTGGATTAACAAGATGTTAAATTTTCATTAAAATGGTAAGTGTTCGGTTATATAAGACAATTTTATATGATATTATCTTTTTTAAGTATAGTTTACATTACTTTGGGGAGGGTATTATGCGTTGGGCTGATGTTTGTAACACCCAAAAATACTGGTTCTACAGCTACCTTAAAGTATACCAATCAAAATCACTTTCTGAATCAATGTCCGTCCATCCGTCTGTCTGTGTTTCCATGTAAACCTTGTGCGCACGATACAGGCGGCAATTTCTAAGATAATTTGATGAAATTTAGCACATAATCTTCTTTTGATTCAAGGCCTATTGAAAATGGTCAAAATCGATCCATTATTTTACCTAGCCCTCATACATTCATACCCCTCGAATAGTACTTTTGAACAAATAATTATGTTCTAGTTTCTCAACAAAAATCGGCAAAATTTAGTTAAGTTATAGAAGTCTAAATAGTACTGCATATCATGTTTCGGTCTACCGAATACGCCTCTAGGTACTGTTACCGACTCAACAAATGCCATCTCATCTGCATGGTTGTAAACGGAAGTGATGTTTTAGCATCTCCGAAGTTAAGCAATGGCCAGAGACTAATTAGCTCGAGTACTTGAGCAAAGTGCTTGTACATGGACCGGAAAAACTATGCACAAAAATTGCCACCTGTGTGTAAGAAGCACAAGGGGGCGGTGGTAAGTCGTTTAGTCAGCTCACCCAGTGGTTGAAAAAGTACCACCTTGAAATAAGGCCGACACGGCAGATGTTTACGTAAAGCACTTCGACATCTTGTTAAGGATCTATCGACGATTTAAGATAATAAAATAATAAGTTTTAAGAGGAATAAGAGGTGACCATCAGTTTGATTGGCTTCTTGTACGAAAAAAGAAACTGTAGACAAAAGAATAAACAAACATGTTACCGTTTTCATCTCCTTTTCCCCATTATAATCCCAATATATGATCTATGTTCCAAATTTTAAAAAAATCGGTGTAGTTGTTACATAGAGATATGGGGAATTTCATGTCAAGTGACCCAATGTCTTCTGAGCGGGGTGAAATTTGAACCAATTTAAAAAAAAAAATATCAAACTGTAACTAACTATAACATAAAGAGTTCTTGGCCGATCATGTTGTATCTATACTACTTTCAATAGGACTAACATTGATGCAAATTTCATCCCGATCGAATAATATCGTTTTCAAAAGTTGGGTCACTTAATTTAAACTAACTAACATTAACCATGTACATCCTTGTGTTATTATATAATCCATAAAGTTTACAGGGGAACTGGATTTTTAAAAATTTGTTGAAAGGGTCGTCAGATCCCCACCACCAATTAAAAACTTTGATCACAGTACAATATGTTAAAATAAGTTTATACAATCTTTGCAAAGTGGGTCTCAAAAATTCCGAAATTTTGACCAGATTACAATAAAAGTAATTGTAAAATTGTTTTAGAGTATTTTGGTACACAAAATAATTTTGTAGTGAGAGACCCATAGAGCAACTGAACAATCCTATAAAGGAATTAACTGATTCTATGCATTTTTTACGATTTCAACGTAGTATTATAGCTTTTATTGGACTTAAAATTTAATTATAAATTCAAGCATTTAAAATGATTTGAATTACATTTTTTTAATTTTATTTGTTTGTTTGTTTATATAAAATTTGGTTGGGTCATTTTGCAATCGGGGATCAAGTTGATTGATTATAAACGAACATAACATTTAATATTTCTTGCCTTCATGTTTCTTCACAATAACATAACTGTCGGCTTTACCGCCATGACCACCATGTGATCCATGACCACCATAACCCCCTTGGCCACCATGTCCACCATCAGCTGCCGTAGCTTCTCCTAGTTTATGAACAACAGCTGTAAATCCCTTCTTTTATATCGGAAGAGTATTCGACATGACGAGTTGTGCCATCGGCTTCTTTTAAAGTATAGCTGCCTATATAGGAAAAATAGATTTTTAGATAGATATATTCAGGTAGATATATTAAAGATTATAAATTCTAACATACCCTTAACTTTGTGACCATCTCTGGCTTCTGATTGACTTTTAATGTCACCGGTTTTCGAGTCTTAACACCATAATCAAATTCATATTTAGGATGGGGCATAATGACCATGGCCATCGTCATCATCATGACCGCCATAACCGCCACCGAAAGCAGCATGACCACCATCATAACCATGTTTGGAACCATGACCACCAGCACCATGGCCACCAGAACCATGACCACCAGCACCATGGCCACCAGAACCATGACCACCAGCACCATGACCACCACCACCACCATGACCACCAGCTCCATGTGAGGTTACCACACTATAACCGACCTCTTTGCCACCACCGCCACCACCATGACCCTCATGATGAAAATGTCCTGCGGCAGCCAAACCGCACAAAAGCACCATTACCGCTATTGAGCTTAATAGACGCATATTGTCAAGAAAACGGAATTAATACGTAATTAAAATAATGTATTAAGTTGTTAATGTTTCTTAAGAAACTGTTAATATTTTAAGATTTTGCTAAACTATTTATATTTTTTTTAAATAAATATTTAACAATGTTAATACATATTAATCATTGATTTATTTTAAAGTTGTTAAGCTCAATGTGAGTCAGTAATTATATAATTGCATATGAAATGGTCAAAAATTCCATAGCTGTAATAGACAATAATTAATTTTAAAAATGCAAAAACACAAATTTGAATTATTCAATATACTCGTAGAGATTGATCAGAAAGAAACTCTCATGATGAAAATTTTAGCAAAATCGTTAACCTCTAAGCAGTTTCCCAGATTTGTAGCTTTGACTCAAGTGGAGCATGGTTTAGATTTTACCGATTTAGATTAAACTTTCAGCACATGAGTATCGGTCAAACTGGAAACATTCTAATATACATACATGTCTCAAAGTCCCGCATCTTTATATTGAGGGCAATGTTTTCAAGACAGTTAAGTATTTTAGGGAAATAATAACCCTTTTTTCATTTTCTTGAGAAGCATATACATATACGTATATATGTCGGTCTTATTCCGTCAGTGTACAGTGAGTTAGAGACGATCAATCATCGCCCCCTTTGTGATCCTTAAGGAACAGTCGGAAGTCGAAATGCTTTATGTGAACACCTGCCATGACGACCTTATTTCACGGTGGTGTAGTTTGTGTCTGCGTTTTTGCCCAAGAACTCGAGCTATCTAATCTCTGACAAAAGCTGGTCCGTTGCGTATCTTCCGAGATGCAAAATCATCACTTCGGTTTACAACCACACAGTTGGGATGGCCTCTATTGATTCGTCAACAGCACCTAGAGACGTGACTGGTAGACCAAAGCGTGGACTCCATATATATACAATTTGACAAGACTTACTTCCTAGGCCATTAGGACCTACAGTTTTGTGTTAAGCATGATTAGAGTAAACTCCAAACACACTCAACCATGAAGGAAAATCATCCATAATACTAAGATCAAAGTTTCATCTACTCAACATCGAGCATCCATTAGCATCAACATTTCATCCATCGCCCATCTCTTCCATCAGATACAACATATATTCCACAGACAAACAACATCTTACACCCAATCTTTGTGTTATCCGCTCTGTTTCAACATTTTATTCCACAGCCTACTCTGTGGTTTGTACCGTTCCTAGAAACAAGGAATTATAGCAAAAACTTATCACTTCCAAGGAAAGACCGAGGATGCATTTGATACCAGCAGTTATTAGTTCCAGAATGAAGATATTTGTAGCACCTCCATATCTCGGGATTGCAATGACACTAAGGTAAAGTACCCAGGGGTGGTGGTAAGGAACAGATAGGTATCAACTTTTATATATGGCGGTTCCTGCACCATATATAATTTTTGATCGCACTTTGATCGAATACTTGAGCTATTTATTCTCTGACCATTACTTCCAAGGTGTTTAAGAAGCATCATTTTCGTTTACCAACATGATGATGGAATAGCATTTCTCGCTTCGGCAATTGCACCTGGAGAACGATTTACAAATCCATCAAATAAACCAAATACAAGTTATTACTCAGACTCGCTGTGAACAGAGTAAACCCTTAACCTATCTTGATATCCATCACCCAACCCAACATACTCATAGAGAAAAAAATCCGACATATTAATTTTGGGTATGCGGTTCGATAAGCTCAGCATACTTCTGATTCCCTAATTTTCTGATCCCGTATCTAACAGTCACCCCACAGTCACTCCTACGAGGAGTCGTAGTCTTTACGGTAACAACATCAAACACCTTACAAAATATTTTACCGCATCATCAGTCTATAACCGATAAAATTTTCCTGCAACTGGTTAGGTTCCTTCGTTAGACTCTCCCAGTTTTTTGACCCGAGAGACTAAAGGTATTAGTAACCCATCTATTACCCGGGATTGTAGTAGCATTAAGGTACGTGCCTAGTAGGTGGTATCTATGAGATATTTTACCGCATCATCAGTCTATAAACCGATAAAATTTCCCTGCAACTGGTTAGGTTCCTTCGTTAGACTCTCCCAGTTTTTTGACCTGAGAGACTAAAGGTATTAGTAACCCATCTATTACCCGGGATTGTGGTAGCATTAAGGTACGTGCCTAGTAGGTGGTATCCATGAGAAAGGTGTATATAAGTTCACTACTTGATTTGCAATTTATACAGTTTCACTTTACGATCGTTGATTTGCGAAGTCGATTGTCTATCACGTCCGTCTATCTGTCTATCCGTATGTGTATTGAACTGTAGTTTCTGTAGGCACCAAATCTTTGATAATCCAGATCTTAAGTAATTCTATCGAACTTGCTTTCGTTTAGCTTTTAATTTTAAATCAAAAAGTGGTCCATAAAAAAGTGAGAATTAAGCAAAATTCCCAAAAAAAGGAAATTATCATTTTATATTTTTAACTATAGTTTTTTGGATCTATCTCGGATCATATTCGGATCAGTATTTGGAGCCCTTTTAATATGAATGTGCAATCGATGTCAATGAACTCACTGGACGATATGTTCCCCATAAGTCAAGTAAGCAAATCGGCCCAAATACCACGAACTTCGCTTTCGATGTTCTAACTTTGTTCTAGCTTTCTTGACATAGTCTAAATCATGAATATTGATCCATAATTGAACTTAGCAAGTAAATAAAGGCATATTACGAATTTTAGGTAATTTTTGTTTTAGATTAAAAACAAAAGCTTTTGAACGTTCTTTGATCAAGCTAAGTTTTTCAGGTAAGTGCAAAAAATGTTTATGGTAAATTGCTGCTACTTAATGACGTATTATAGCGACTGACTAACTACATAATTTAAAGACAATTGTTTAAGTTCAAATATAATAAATATGCAATTAACTACAAAAGCTAATTCAAGGTTTTTAAAAAGGTGTCGAAAATAAATCTAATTATTTTAGTATAAATAAGTCATAAAAATCTCCAAATATTAACAGTTCCTTCAGCAAGTTCGATAACATCAAATAACATTTAGAATAGAAGTTATTCCTTTAAAACATGCGTTTCCTAAGTATTACTGGTATTTTATTGGTGGGCGCTTGTGGCTTAGTTGTGGCCGGATATTATAGTCATCATGGTGATGCTGGTCATGGTGGTTACGGTGGTCAAAGCAAGGAAGTTGGCTACTCTGTAGTTACTGATCATGGCTATGGTGGCGGTCACGGTGGCGGTCATGGGGGTAATCATGCTGCTGGTCATTATGCTTCTGCTTATTATGGTGGACACGGTGATGGCCATTCTCACTCTATTGCCCACTATGGTGGTCATGGTGATGGTCACTATGGTGGTCATTACGGTGGACTCTATGGTGGTCATGGTGATGATAGTCATAATTACTACGCTTATCCCAAATATGACTTCAGTTATGGCGTTAAGGATACCAAAACTGGTGACATCAAAAGTCATTCGGAATCCCGTGATGGTGGTAATGTCAAGGGTAAGTTATTGGCATGAAATTATTTAAAATAATATAATTCTTTTAATAAATTAAACTTACAGGAAGCTATAGCCTTAAGGAAGCTGATGGCACTACCCGTGTTGTAGAATATTCTGCCGATAAACACAAAGGTTTTAATGCTGTTGTCCATACTTTGGGTCAGGCTTCTGGTGCTCATGCTGCTGGTCATTATTATGGTCACGGTAATCATTATGGTCATGGTCATGGTTACGGTCATGGATACGGACATGGTTATGGTCAAGCCTCAAGTTATATTTTTGTTAAGAAACAAGAAGGAAAGAAATATTAATGAATACTAAAGGGAATTTAAATGTTGACTGAAATGTTGAAAATGTGATTTGTTATGCGAGTACAATAACGATTAATAAATGCAAATAAAATAAAAGAGAATATTGTTTATTTATAGATTTCTTTTTAATACAAATTTAATTTTTTTTGTCAACATTTTTAATAATTATTTTACTGACATATGTACATTGCCTGTAGTTTGAGTATTTTTTCGGATAAGACCAATTTTACAATCGCTTAAGAATATTATTTTGAGACTCCTCACAATTGGATCAAATCGAAAAATCTGGCATGACAAATGGAATAAATAAGAATAAACTAAAAGGAATTTTATATGAATACTTATATATTGGGTTACAAGTCCCTTAATTAATAAAAAGGGAACAGTAATAACTCCATTATTCCATTAAAAATGGATTTTGTATGAACTATTTAGACATAAATCCTTAAATAAGTAACAAATGATCAAAATATCTGAAATTTTGAATTAAAGCAGGTTCTTAGTGAGAACCCTGCAGATTAGCTGTAGATCGT